CGCCACTTTTCACCGGTTCTTTTGTTTTTTTAAATAATGACACTCTGGCAGCAAAGGTGCGATATGTTAAAAATTGTCCTGTAAGGTAGCGTGTAAAAACATTTATTTACGTTTAGGAGTCATTCACAAACACATAAAGTAAATGTTTTAATTTATAAGCAATTTTATAGTTGAGCGATATGCCATTTCTTAGAATTTCTTGATTTTTATCTGCCAATTTTACAAAAACAAATATTTAAAGTACAAACACGCATATGTATTCACACAAATAAATTCGGCTTAAAGAACCATTTAATTTTGTCAACTAAAAGCAAAATAAATATTAAATTGATCCTTTGTTCCATCACGTTAGACTATACTTGTATGTAAGAAAATAATTTTTTATAACTTATCAAAATGTGAATTCTCTAAAAATTAATCCGGCTTAAACATAAAAATCTGCTGCAGAAGTAACACGGAAAATAAACAGCGATTCAGTAGCAAGCAAACAGTAAACTGAAATCCTTTAAGAAGAAAACTTGCAAACTGCACACGAAATCCCAACATCACATGGGAATAGAAAAACAAACGGAAAGCACGAAAAAACAATAACAAAAGAGGCGAATCCAGTTGTGGGTGAGCGCCAGCGAAGGTTGGGTTGCCAGTCAAGTAGTGCGCGGAAGCAAGTAGCTCGAAATTGAAATGAAATTTCATTTTCATTATTTCTTGTTTGCATATGCTCCGACGTGAATTTTGGCATATGTTCTGGCATTTTGCATTTTTTCGATGTCATTATAGAAGCTCGCATGTGTTTGCGGTGTGCAATTTTCTGGCATTAATGCTATGTTGATCTTATTTTGGCAGCAAATAAAAACATAATATATTTATTTATTTAACTATTTAGACAGATAAAAATGCAGCAGGATACCAGAGATAGCAGGATATGCAATTTTAATGTTTATTTTCGCTTCATATACACAGAGGCAGCATTCCGAAAATTATTTGGCTGTAATTTATGAATAAATAATACTATACGAAATAAAAGCTTGGTAAAACGAAAACAAATTGAATATACTTTTCTCGAATATCTCAAGGGATATACAACAGGTAAAGTTAAAAAAAGTTGCACAATCGGCATTTTCAAACTACCCTTAAGATCTGAACTTTCAGCCCCCACTAAATTTTATTACCATAAAGTTCATGTATCAGGTGGCTCAGAATTCACTCTTATTTAGATTTTTCTTGTTGACGGTGTTTTTTGCATTTTTTTTTTTTAATTTAATGGCGTTTTCGTTTTTACCGAAAAATGTTACCTTCTCTTTGCTCTCTACGTATAAATACTAAGAAGGGGGCAATGAGAAGGCAGCATNGCTGTAATTTATGAATAAATAATACTATACGAAATAAAAGCTTGGTAAAAAGAAAACAGATTGAATATACTTTTCTCGAATATCTCAAGGGATATACAACAGGTAAAGTTAAAAAAAGTTGCACAATCGGCTTTTTCAAACTACCCTTAAGATCTGAACTTTCAGCCCCCACTAAATTTTATTACCATAAAGTTCATGTATCAAGTGGCTCAGAATTCACTCTTATTTAGATTTTTCTTATTGACGGTATTTTTTGCATTTTTTTTTTTTAATTTAATGGCGTTTTCCTTTTTACCGAAAAATGTTACCTTCTCTTTGCTCTCTACGTATAAATACTAAGAAGGGGGCAATGAGAAGGCAGCATTTTTTAGAAACGAGAACGCAATAAGACAAAGTTCGAAACTTATACTATTTAAATGGTTAACTACAAAATTTTGTATGAAAAACATTGTACAAAAATCTCTGTACACAAACTTCTAGCGCAATTACAAATCGCTCACTTATCAGAAAAGTGTCATAATAAAAATAAAGTGCTTTTTAATTGTGCAGAAAGCGCCATTGAGATTTTTTGGTTTTTGAAGTTATGTTGTAAGTGTTGAAGTAAATGAGCGATATTTGCACATATGGCAGCCCGAAAATTTAAGCAGGTGGCTTGTANTGGTTAACTACAAAATTTTGTATGAAAAACATTGTACAAAAATCTCTGTACACAAACTTCTAGCGCAATTACAAATCGCTCACTTATCAGAAAAGTGTCATAATAAAAATAAAGTGCTTTTTAATTGTGCAGAAAGCGCCATTGAGATTTTTTGGTTTTTGAAGTTATGTTATAAGTGTTGAAGTAAATGAGCGATATTTGCACATATGGCAGCCCGAAAATTTAAGCAAGTGGCTTGTGNTTTGGTTTTTGAAGTTATGTTGTAAGTGTTGAAGTAAATGAGCGATATTTGCACATATGGCAGCCCGAAAATTTAAGCAGGTGGCTTGTACTTATTTCTACTCCATGCGTAAAATGACAATTCCAACTAAAGATGTACATATTGTTATGCCGAATTTCCACTACGCATTGCAATGACAAAAAATTGATGTCAATTAAAAAATGCGATATGGAAATGAATTTAATGACTACTTTTTGGGAAGTGATACGATTATTTTTTAATGCCCAACTTTGTCATTACAATTTTTGCCATTTAACTCCTAGTGAAAATCCAGCATTACGTTTATTATTTAGTTCTCGACGATTTCGTAATGGCTCGTTTTACTGGCTTGTTAAAGAAAAGGCACTGAAATTATTAGGGACCCGAACCAATTGTACTTCGGATATCGTAAAATGTACTTCAGATTAGTCAATTGTATTTCGGAAACCATGAAATGTACTTCAGGTTTGTAAATAGTACTTCAGAAACATATAACATTTTCGCCAAAAAATGCCCTTACCACAAATGAGCGCTCAACCATGAATATCAAGTAGATTACAAGCAATTTTATGCAAAGTATGTATGTATGTACATACTACATGTAAATAAATCCCATTGGATATAGCATTATGCTTGCAATATACCTACACTGAGGGAAAAAAATATTAAAATCAAATATAAACGTAATTGAACTTACTATAAAAGTCAACGAAAGTACTGCATATTGATAAATATTCAATTTAATTACGCGCATATTAAAACGACCGTCTTCGTTCTGAAAAGCATCCGTGAAGTGTACCATCAATACAAAAATAAAAAAAAAAGTTTAATTTGCTTGTTGCCTGCAGTGGAATTCGAACCCGACCATCTCCGGATATCAACAACTTGTGGCAAGGATCTTTGCGCACTCAGCTACACCCATACATATAAATTTGCTTTCAAATGTTGAATATCCATCAACACCACAGCACGCGATTTGTACGTATAAATACCCTGCAAAAAATGGGACTAATCCGGGATGACTCCGGGAGCAACTTCGCAAAGGAACATGCGACTTATACCACTTTGGATCTCTTTATATGGAATGAACTGTTCGCATTTGTTCGAGCATGTCCTATGAAGAGACTAATTGTTCACCTTTATACCCGAACGGGTATAAAAAGCGACTAGTTACTTTTAAAAAATAAAAATAAAAATCTGAGCCAGCTGAGATTCGAACCGGGGTGCTCAGTTTCGTTAGGCGAATACTCTCTCAGTGTGCCAACGCCGCACATGAGATTTCATTGACTAAGTGCGTACATATCATTAAATCGTTAATAGTACCCGTTAGAGATGAGTTGGGGACTAATTGATCTCCAATTATACCCATAAGGGATGAGTCGAGACTAATTGACCTCCATTAGTACCTGTATGAGACTAGTTGGGACTAATTAATGCCCAATTGTACCCGATTGAGAGTAATCTCGGAATACTCTCTTTAGAGAATAGTCGCACAATTTTTTGCAGGGTATGTACTATGTATGTATGCTTGGGGTGCGTATGTACACTCATATATATACTCAGATGTGAACAGTGAAATACGTGCGTAATAAATTTTGTATGAAAATATAATTTTTAAATACGAACATTTTTAAACGATAATCAAATATAAAATATTCATTTTTACTATGCATTATTTCCCTCAGTGTATACATCATTAGCGCACACAAGGGGTGGGTTTTGGAGTTCAAACCCCCCCTAAAGCTAATAACCTCAAACACAAACTGTATCTTAAAGCTAAGAATCCAGCTCTCAAGGAAACTATAAAAAATATTTATTATAATTTCTGTTGCTTAAAAAAGCGCTTTGCTTTTGCTGTAAATTTTCATGAGGAAATGAATATACGATAGACTGGGTCGAAAAAAAAAGTTGCTAATGTCCGCCCCTAAATTTAAAGATTATGTTGAGAGGGTTCTGGAAAAATTTTTTTTCGTTGAAAGTTGGGTATTTGACGGCCGATTTTTAAAATTAACATGTCATCACATTTCCTTTTAAGCTATGAAGTCGTTTACCCATGGTTAGGTCAGCTAACAAAATTCGCCCCCACAAATTCCTCCAACAGTTTTCTTAGTTGGAAATTTAATCTCACTGCTTTCGTACCAATTTAGGTACATTTTTGCTACGATTTTTCCCAAATTCATACTCTTTGTTTTCGTCGCATCAGCAACCCGGGGAGTGCAAAACTGACGCTGTCAATAGCGAGCTAACCTCTTGTAATTTAATCATGCCAATAAATTTTATAAATTGTGGAAGTCAAAGTAAATAAGTGAGTCAAACCTCTTGTTTCGTATTGATAATAATAATTTATAATTAATACCATAAATTGTGCTGGTGAAATAAAATTAAAAAGTGACTTAACAGTGTGTGCAATTTAAAAATGGCTTTCGTTAAGCGCGATATTGATATTAAAATGTTACCTACGAAACGTGGTGTTATTGAATATTTTTTGTTCCTTAAATATTACGGCTCTGCAAGTGCTCCACAAAATCGAAGTCTCAATGAATATTTGCCAATAGTTATGAACACAATTTCAAAGTTGTGGCAGCAGGCAAACATCCCTATAGTTACAAGAACTACGCTCCGGAGAAACATTGAAAGCCTCCTTCAAAGTTATTACAATGTAAAAAAACATCCTTATGAATATAATGATCAGGAATGGAATAAAATATTGTTAATTTCAAAGTGTAAGTGCATTATGGACTTAAATCGACAATGTGATTGCCCTAGTGCAAGTAGAGTTCCAACCGCGGTAAATGACTTTCTTTATGATCAATGCGGGCCAAGGCTTTTGTCATTAGTTAGTGGGCTTGATCATACTAGAACTGACAATTGCTCGCTAGAATGTAATGTTGAAAATCACACTGAAACCGCTGCAAGTTCGATTGGTTATGTGCCTAGCTCAAGTGAAGACGATGAAGCAAGTGAAGAAGTCACACAAAGTTTAAAAGTATCTGATTTGTCCTTAAAAAATTATTGCTCGGCGTTAGATAGGACGGATACTTCAGATCGCTTTGGATCATTGCTTGCTACAATGCTAATAAAAGATTTGCAAGCTGCGATTACTACAAAAGTAAAAAAGGATTTTAAAGAAAACACAGCGGATAAAATTATGAAATATTTTGATTATCTGGTCATTGACAAAAATAAAATTTCACGCGAGCGTAACAAATGTAGAGCACAAACTGAAGCAGCAACAAAAACTGGCACTAATCTTAAATGCATTTCGTATGATGGTAAACAGGACGTAACACTACAAAAAAAAATAGTTCACGGTAGCGTAAGAACAATGCTTCTAAGAGAGGAGCATATTACAATTTTGAAAGAGCCTGATTCGAAATTTATTGGATACGTATCTCCAAAAGAAGGCACTGGGGAAGCAATCCAGCAAGCAATAGTAAGCTTTTTGAATACCCAAAAATATTGCTTAAACGAACTTGTAGCTATAAGCTGTGATGGTACAGCTGTCAATACTGGATATAAAATTGGAGTAAATGCACAAATGGAACGTTATTTACAAAGGCCCTTGCAGTGGAATGTGTGTTTGTTACATTTCAACGAGTTGCCTCTAAAAAAGTTGTTAACGCATTATATTGGCAAGCAGAAAGGACCTGGTGTTTGGCCAGGGGTGTTGGGGTCTGAAATTATGACTTGCACCAAATACCCGGTAGGTTGTCCACACTATAATAGTTAATGTTATAAACAAAAACATATATTTTCCTTATCAGGTTGTAAGTGGTTTTGAGGCTATTGCTATGGGAGTTATTCCTGAAAATATTGGCTCTTGGGAATTACGCAATGATCAGCGTTATTTATTTGATATGGTTTTGGCAGTAAATAATGGTGAATGCGATGAATATCTCGCTAGTAAGAGCCCCGGTCCCGTCAGTACAGCTCGGTGGCTTACAACAGCTTCCAGGTTACTTCGGGTATATGTTTCCAAAGAAAGCCCGTCAGCGGAGTTGCGAAACATGGTAGAGTTTGTTGTGAAAGTTTATGCACCATTCTGGTTTCTTGTAAAGAGCCAGTCACAAACAATTCATGGAAGTAGACACGTTTTTAAGTATATTTGCTGGATACGCGAACTATCAAATGCTGTTCAAGCCATTATACGTTCAGCTATAGAAAATAATGCATATTATTTTCACCCAGAAAATATATTATTAGCCATGATAACCGACGCTGATCCAGAGATACGTAATGATGGGTACGAAAAAATCAAAACAGCACGTCAATATCCACCAGCAGGGCTTCGCGTGTTCAAGGTCCCAAAGCGTGGCGTAATAAACTTTGAAAGTAAGTCGTATGTCAGCATGATCGATTGGAGTCAGTTTAAGATTACGGAACCCCCTTGTGTGCAGTTCTACCCAGATAGTGAACTTACAATGTTTCAATTTTCGGAAAATGAAGTGATAAATATCCCAGGTAAATATCTTCAAACTAAAAACTTCACGGGTCTTATAGTACTTTTAAATCATTTTTTTTTAGAGTTCCTCTGTCATTCCCAGAATACCGAACGGTTTGTGCGTGTTGTTAGTGAGTCTGCAAGTGCTGTCACTGATGAAAAGCGCCTGGGCCACATTTTTGCAAAATTAGAAAGCCGAGACCAATATAAAAGCCTTGATTCGCGCCAAAATTTGCTTAAGTAGCAATAAATATTGTAAGTGAAATAACTTTTTTGTTGATTATTTTAGTAATATAGTTTGAAGGCAACATTTTCTTGAATTTTTAAGTACTTTCGTTTGGTAAGGAAAAAAATATGCTTTAGGGGGGGTAAAATTTTGTTCCTGCCCTTATCATGCGAACGCGACTTCAAAGCTTAAAAAGACATAAGAACGAAAAGTGAAGCTTCTCAAGACAAAAATAATGACATATCAATTTTAAAAATCGGCCGTCAAATAACCAAGTTACAACGAAAAAACCATTTCGGCTG